CGAAGTGTATCGGATACCTTGGCCGTTTAATCCCGTCTATGGGCGAATGATCCGATGAACTGGGCGCCAGCCCCCAATGGATTGCGGTTTTCGCACACCGCCCCGCTGCCTTGCGGGTCAGGTTTTAGCTAACCAAAAGCTCCGGTTGTGGATTCCTCAAGATAATTCATCTGCCTTAGCCTGGGCAATTCGGCAGTATTCCGCCCACTTACAAATCATGGAATGTCTTTCTTTTTCATAAAGATCATTGTACCATGATTTGTCATAGATGTTCTACAGAACGCTTTGTCCCGTCTAGCTGACGGCGGAATCGAACAGAGTTCTTGGCTTAGAATATGCCGACGACATTTCATTGTTGGGTGACAACACACAGGCAGTCCAAGACGCTTTGAACCGCTTGGCGATCGAGGCATCCAGGTATGGTATGTGCTTTACGCCATCAAAGTGCAGAGTGCTTGTTCAGGACTGACAGGAGCCTGTGCCTGCACTCACCTGTGGTGATCAGCTGGAAGTAGTTGAAAGCTTTAAGCACCTCGGCAGCTTATTTGCAGCTGGTGTTGGAGAGGAGAGCACCACGGATAACGAAAGCTAGAGCAGCTTTCGCTAACCTGTGGCGCCGCCATGACATCCGACTCTCTTAAGGGAAGGGTGTACATCAGTGCAGTTCGTAGCGTTTTGCTTTACGGTTGCGAGACCTGGCCTCTCCGCGTTGAGGATGCTAATCGACTTTCTGTATTCGACCACCGACGTCTCCGAAGCATTGCTGGTGTCTGGTGGGAACATCGGGTGAGTAATGACGAGGTCCGTTGTCGTACGTTGAGTGTGGATAGTCGTTCTTTAACAGAACGTACTGCTTATACCCGCCCATCGACTGCCTTTCCGTGCTCTTTTCGCTCGTACCGAGGCAAGGCTGGAAGAAGCCCCTCGGAGGTCAGACTATGACGGCGTAGAGGTTTGAAGAAGCTGGCTTCGGTTGGCGCAGCCTGCCTTCCAGGTTGGGGCCCAAGGGATGAGGATTGTCTTTCATTAGAGACGCTGAGACATATGGCCCAGAATAAAAGTCAGTGGCGCGAAAGCTGTAAGGTTTGTCGGTCAAAATCCCAAGACATGAACAGGTGTTACTCGTACGCCTCTTTTTGGTTGGTTTGGAACCAGGGTTTTTAGCCATCTCCCATAGGTGAACTGCCAATGGTTCACTGACTCGGATGTTGGTTTTTTGTCCTCTTTGGTGGGAAAACACAACCGCCACGAGGATGCAGTGAGTAGACTATTTGAGACGCCTGGGCGTATTTCAGTTTTCAGTTTGAACAACCATTAACCATGCACTTCGTGCGCCGGTTTTGGTTGCTATCTTTTGGCTGCCCATTGGGATGAACAATAGGAAAAGAAAGGAAAGTTGAAAGTGATTTCGAAAAGAAAATGGAGAGGTTCAATGGACTAAGGTTGGAAAGAAATTGAGATGCACGAACGCCACTGTTTACGACACCCAGCCATATCGTTCAGTGTCTCTAACCATCGGTTACGATTATCCCGAGGTCCCCAGACAGGGAGCCTAACACGACCTATGTGACCCAGTTTCCTGGTTAGGGTTTTCATACCCTCGTGCCAGGTCTTAACTTGACCACCCTTGACTTTCTTCCACCCACTACTTGCCTCGGCGAACATCGCTCGCGGTGGCAACCTATTTGGTGAAATGCGTAACACATGTTCCAGCCAACGTAATCCATGGAGGTC